GGGCGTGAGTGGGAAGGAGAGGGAGAGAGAGAGGGCGTGAGTGGGAAGGAGAGGGAGAGAGAGAGGGCGTGAGTGGGAAGGAGAGGAAGAGATAGAGAGAGAGAGAGAAAGAGAGAGAGAGAGAAAGAGAGAGAGAGAAAGAGAGAGAGAGAAAGAGAGAGAGAGAAAGAGAGAGAGAGAAAGAGAGAGAGAGAGAGAGAGAGAGACACAGACAGGGAGGCAGGGGAGGCAGCCGAGCAAAGAAAGACCCCGGCCAGGCAGGGAAACACCGGCACACGCACTTGTACGACAGGCCGCAAGCCACCAGCATGTGGTCAAAGATGTCCATGTCCAGGATGGACCCGTCGAAGAGCCGCGTGCAGAAGATGATCGAGCTGGAGGGCGGACGCAGGTCGAAGGCCAGCACCCGGCCATCCGAAAGCCCGGCGAAGCAGGTCGTATGCCCGAGGCGGGGCGAGCCGCGGAGCTCCACGATGAAGACCGGCGGCTCGTTCGGCGGGGCGGCCTCGGCCTCGGCGCTTGCCGGGGCCGATTGATCGAACCCCGGCGACGGGGGGTCCGCCTCGATGGCCAGCCCGGCGGAGCCGGCCGCGGCCGACGTGGCAGGGCCACCGCCTCCGGACGCCCCGAGGCCGGTGCCGGCACCGGGCCCGGCGCCGCCACTGCCACCGGACACCGGCGCGGCCGAGCCCAATGGCGGGAAGTTCACCGTCGAGGACATGGACACCGCGGCGCGATTGGGGCCCTGGTCCGGGGGGCTGGTGGCGGCGGCGGCGGCGGCCGCCGCTCGCCGCGCGCTCGCCGCCGCCGTGGCGAAGGAAACCGACGGCACCGGAGCCCCGGCCCCGGTGGCCGGCGTGTCACCCAGCCGCGGCAGCTGGGGGAACCCGGCGAAGGGCGAGTCCGGTCTCGGGGCCAGGTCCGTGGCACTGTTGCTGCTCTGGAGCAGCGGCCAAGCGTCCGCCTCGGCCGTGATGTCCACCGGGCCCGATGAAGCGACGTCCACCGGCGAGGCAGACCCGGCGGCAGGCGGGGAGGCAGCGGTGGCGGCAGGGGCAGCGGTGGCGGCAGCGGCCGCCGCCGCCGCAGTAGCAGCTGCCGCCGCCGCCGCCGCCGCCGCCGTGGCCGCCGCCGCAGCGGCCGCCGCCGCCGCCGCCGCCGCCGCCGAGGAAGCGGCCGCCGCGGCCTCCGCCTCGGCAGTCGCATGCGCCGCGGCCACCGACGTCTGGAGCAGCTCCAGCCAGGAGAGCGCCTGCGTGACGAAGGGCCCGGAGTGGGGGCCCATGGCGGCGCCGGTGTCATCGGTGCCGCCCGGCAGCCGGTCCACCAGGGCGGCCGGCGACAGGAGCACATGCTCCGGGTCCTCGGCATCGCCGGCCACCTCCGGCAGGACGGCCGTCCCATCCAGGAAGTCCGACCCGCGGAAGAAGGCCAGGCGCTCATCGAGCGGGGTGCGGCCGGCGGCCCCGGCCGCGGCGCCCTCGCCCCCGGGGGCACCGTCCCCGGCGTCGGCCAGATTGGCCAGCTGGTTGCGCTTGGACCGCGACCGGCGGGATCGCCGCGAGCCGGTGGGCTTCTGCTGGGAGGCCGGCCCGGCCGGGGAGAGACCCTCCGGCCGGGGCCCGCCCGAAGCGGGGCCGCCACCGGCCGGCAGGGCACCCCCGGCCGGCGGGGCCACCGCACCGGCCCCGGCGTGGCCCCGGCCGGCCGCCCGGTCCAGCGGGATCCCGGTCAGCAGGCTTCGCCGGTGGTACTGCGCACGCAGGCGCCCGGCCGTGGCCACAAACGCCGCCATCAGCCCCACGCGGATGAGCAGACCGCAGGAGGTCGACACCCAAAGGGCATCGTAGGCCAGGAAGCCGGCCGTCAGGATGGACGGCGTGGCGGGGGCCGGCTGGCCAAGCAGCCGCGACGCTTCGGCCACCAGCCGCGCCGAGGACACCCGCCACACGGGGGTCCCACTGATCGAGGCGCACACCACCCAGTAGTCGCTCAGCGAGATGCTCATCTGGTAGCCGCAAAGGATCTTCCGCACGGGGGACGGGTGCGACAGGACCGACGACAGGAGCACCAGGCTGTCATCGCCGGACTCCAGCGACCCGGAGAAGGCGCTCGGCTTCGGGGGCTCGGTGTCGCGCCCGGCCGCCCCGGCCGCGCCGCCCTGCGACGTGTCCACCGAGTAGTGCAGCACCCGGCCGCAGCTGGTCCCGGCGATCAGTTGCTCGGCATGGGTGTCCAGCGCCAGGGCGGTGACCGATCCGGCCTCGCGCGCCGGCCGGGCCACCGTCACGGGCTGCCGCGCGGCCCAGCTCCCGGACCCGGACGACGGGGATGCCAGGGATCCCAGGGGGTAGTTGGACGAAGCATAGCCAGGCACTACCGGGTTGTAGCCCAGGCCGGGAATCATGTCACGCAGCACGGCCTCTCCGGTTGATGGGCGAGGTGGGCAGGGGGG